ACTCGCACAGAGTGCTTTTCAATGTTGTCGTGTCTTTTGTGATCTGGGATTAGGCGAGAGGGAGGGGATCTGGGTGGGGCAAAGGGAGTTTGTGGCATCTGTGTATTTGCCCTGCCCAGAAACTTTGTGTGTGTGTGTGTGTGTCTGTGTGTCTGTGGCTTTGAAAAATAAACATTCCCTGGAGTTTGGGTGGCTCGGTGCCTGGGGAGGTGGCAGTTGGGATTGGCTGCTCACTCCCTACCCAAAAAGTACCGCCCTTTCCCCAGCAGCAAAGCCCTGAGTCAAAGAAATGGACTGGTTGGGGTTTCCTCTCTGGTTTTTACGCTCTGTGGTTGCCTGAGGCTCATCTCAGCTTCCGGCCTGCACAATTATAATAGGCTAGATACAACAGATCAACACCTCATTTCCTGTTCCCCATCTTTGCAAGTGTCTCTTCTCTTGTTCCAGTGCGGTCAGGTCAAAGTTGGTGCTTCCTTACGGTGCAAATACACCTTGAGGCACAGGTCAATTCTGTGTCCAGGGCAGCTGTTTACCAGCTCCACCTGGTACGCAGGCTGAGACCCTACTTGCCCACAGACTGCCTCGCCAGAGTGGCGCATGCTCTGGTTATCTCTCGCTTGGACTACTGCAATGCGCTCTACATGGGGCTACCTTTGAAGGTGACTCGGAAACTACAACTAATCCAGAATGTGGCAGCTAGACTGGTGACTGGGAGCGGCCGCCGAGACCATATAACACTGGTCTTGAAAGACCTACACTGGCTCCCAGTACGTTTTCGAGCACAATTCAAAGTGTTGGTGCTGACCTTTCAAGCCCTAAACGGCCTCGGTCCAGTATAACTGAAGGAGCGTCTCCACCCGCATCGTTCTGCCCGGACACTGAGGTCCAGTGCCAAGGGCCTTCTGGCGGTTCCCTCGCTGTGAGAAGCAAAGCTACAGGGAACCAGGCAGAGGGCCTTCTCGGTAGTGGCACCCGCCCTGTGGAACGCCCTCCCACCAGATGTCAAAGAGAAAAATAACTACCAAACTTTTAGAAGACATCTAAAGGCAGCCCTGTTTAGGGAAGCTTTTAATGTTTAATAGGTTATTGTATTTTAGTGTTTTGTTGGAAGCCGCCCAGAGTGGCTGGGGAAGGCCAGCCAGATGGGCGGGGTATAAATAACAAATTATTATTATTATTATTATTATTATTATTATTGAATGGGTACCAATCTCAGCCTTGAAAAGCACCATAGAGTTGGAAAAGGGAGTAACCTTACTGACTTCCGCTTTCACCTATCGGTGCTTTTGGGTGGGTGTTCAAAGGTTTCCACCAGCCATATTTGCTATTTTCTCCCTCCGCTGTCGGAGGCAGTGATGTACCTCTGAACGCCAGAGAATTGGGAGAGTTGCTCTTGAGTTCGAATCCTGCTTACGGGTTTTTCCATAGGGGAATCTGGTTGGCCACTGTGAGAACAGGACGCTGGACTAGTTGGGCCATTGGCCTGATCCAGTCGGACTCCCTTTGTGTTAAGATTCTCGGGTTTTAAAAACCACTCCTGTTTTGTGTGAGCTGTGTCCCCCGAACAGCTCTGCAAGTTGGGAATTGTGGGGGAAATTGGTCACACAGGAACATATCCCTCGTCATGACTGATATCTTAAAAAATCCTTTTATTCTGACAACAACCCAGCGAAGTGGCCTAGGCTGGAAGAGAAGGCCTTGCTTGACGTCACCAAGCACCTAGAACTCCCTAAAGCAGCAGTTCTCAACCTGTGGGTCCCCAGATGTTGTTGAACTACAACTCCCATCACCCCTAGCTAGCAAGGCCAGAGCTCTGAAATGTATCACATAGCTCCAACTGCTGTGCCTCTGTTGTTTCTTCACATTTCTGTCCTGCTTTCCCCCCATAGTAGAACTCAAGGCAACATACCTGGGGTTCCATGGTGGCCTCCCATCCAGGAGCTGACCAGGCCTGTACCTGCTTAGCTTCAGGGAGGTGGTGGCCTCATGCGCCTTCAGACCATGCTCTGGTCTGGAAGAGAGAGAGGAAATAGCAGTTTCTTTAACAGAGGGGCCACTTCAGACAAGGCCCTGCCTTGATGTCTGAGGACAGAACAGGTTCATATAAAGGCCCTACATACCTACAAATCCCTTCTGGGCTGAAACAGACCTGGACATTCTTCAACCAGCATTTATTTAATTATTTTTATTCTTCCATTCACGTCCTACCTTTACTCCAGGGGGCTTGTACATGGTTCTCCGCTTCCTCATTTAATCCCCGTAACAATCCTGTGAGGTTGGTTACACTGACAGGTAGGGACTGGTCCAAGGTCCCACCTAGTGGGCGAGTGGAGATTTGAACCCGGGTCTCCCAGGGCCAACACACTGACCACTACTTTACCCTGGTTCTCGCTAGGGTTAAAAACAGAGGGCTGACCTCTCTGGAATGACCGATTTTCCTCATGGCACCAATTTAAAAAAAAACGTTGGAGGAGCTTTTGCCTGAGGAAATTGGAGGAGGGAGGTGCTTAACCCATCCCCTGCCAGCAAATTATGTTTTCCAGAGCGGTTTTTCTCACGCATACCATTAAAAATCGGAACCAAGTCAAGATGGGATGGATAGCCGGCAGGAAGGGTGCTTAACCCTTCCACCACCCACCAGTTCTGCCCTTTCCAGCTATTTCCCCACCACCCACAAAGCTAAACCCCTTTCATGGTTTTGAGCCCAGCAAGAATAGTTGGGAGAGTCGTTTCCCCCCCCCCCCCGACTTCCTCCTCCCAGAGTCCCCCCCTTTTAAAATTCATTTTAAAACACAAATAAACAACACAAACAATGCAAACAAATTCTTGTCTTATCCTTATTTCTTCTAAACATTGTTAGGTTGAGCTTCCCCAAGTCCCCTCTATCTGATTTTCATTTTACCTCATCTTTAGCTTTTTACATATATCATAATTTTTAACCATTTTGTCACACTTACTGTTACTATAATAATCTTCACATTTTATCCTTTACAAAGAATACTATTTTAAAATACACTGTCTTCTACTTCTAACCCTACAGCCTATATCCACTTCCAAAGCTATTCTAAGATTTAAATATTAACATATTTTTTTCAAATATTCTTTAAACTTCTTCCAGTCTTCTTCCACTGTCTCTTCTCTTTGGTCTCGGGGTCTCCCAGTTAGTTCGGCAAGTTCCATATAGTCCATCATCTTCATCTGCCATTCTTCGATAGTTGGTAAATCTTGTTTCTTCCAGTTCTTTGCTAGTAATATTCTTGCAGCTGTTGTGGTATACAGGGAAAAAAATAGCTTCCTTTTTGGGGATTTCATCCCTTCCTCCTCCCAGACTCTTGCATGATTCTAGCATATGTGGAGTTGCGGGGCTGCATGTTCAACAAGCCCCTTCATGTATCACTGCCTTGACAGCAAACTATGGCAAGTTCTTAAAGAAATGGGAGTGCCTGATCACCTCATCTGTCTCCTGAGAAATCTCTATGTGGGACAAGAAGCTACAGTTAGAACTGGATATGGAACAACTGACTGGTTCAAAATTGGGAAAGGAGTACGGCAAGGCTGTTATTGTCTCCCTGCTTATTTAACTTATATGCAGAAT